TTTCTGGTTGAATAATCCGGTTTTAGCCTGCCTTTCAGGCTCATTTCACATTATTTCCCTTCATATATTCTATAGACTGTCCACCTAGCCTGCCTGCAAATACCTGTGAGTCACAAGCCATTTTCCATCTTCATACCCGTACACAGGCTGTTTCCCATGCCTGAGATGGGCTCCCTTGTTACTCCCATCTAGTAGAATGTCTACCTCCTCTTAAAAGTCAGTTCAAGTAACACTATCTTCACGAGGCTTTTCCTGATTCCTCAGTTGCTAATCTCCGCCCCCCCGCCCTTCCCATCACCTATTTTATATTCAGGAACAAGGATTAAGTCTAGACCAGTGATTGCAGAGAATTCCCAGGTAAGGAAACTTCCTCTATAAAGTTAGCTATATAGCTATAGTTAGGTATATAAGTTAGCACCTTCTTGGAAATGCATAGAGAGTTGCCTAGAGCTCTGATAAATTGAGGGATTTGTCCAGAGTGACAACCAGTATATATCAGAGGTAGGACTTGAACCTAGGTCTTTTCAGTTTCAAGACCAGTTTTCTATCCACTGCCATTTTATATTGACTTTTAATACATATTTTGGATACATATGTGTGCAATTTTTTCCCAAATATAAACTCCTTTTTAAAAATTATTTTATTTTTAATATATGGAATAAAGTAAGCATTTCCATAACAGTATAATAAAAAAAGATGATTGCACATGAAACTACAAAACTATTATGTTCAACTTTCTATTCCTTTTAAATACATAATAAAGTTATTATATAAGTTTCTCCCCCCCAATGGTTATCATTAGACACAAATATGTGTATGTGTATATATATGTACATATATATACACATATATGTATATATGTGTGTATGTATGTATGATAATTCTAACATATTTCTATTTATCATTTCTTTCTCTGGATGCAGATAGCGTCTTCCTTCATAGGTCCTTTGTAGTTAGTTTGGGTATTTATAATAGTCAAAATGGCTTATTTGCTCAAAGTTGTTCTTAAAACAATACTGCTGCTACTGTGTACATTTCCTTGGTTCTGCTCATTTCATTTTTCATTATTTTATGCAAGTTTGTCCCTGATTTTCTAAGATCATCAAACTCATCATTTCTTACAGCACAGTAGTATTCCATCACAATAGCATACTACAACTTGTTCCACCATTCCTCAGTTGACAGGCATCCCCACAAGTTCCAGTTCTTTGCTGCCGCAAAGAGAGCTGCTATAAATATTTTAGAACATATAAGTTCTTTTCCTTTTTCCCTAATCATCTTTGGAAATAGACCTAGTCAAAGGGTATAGGCAGTTTAATAACTCTTTGGGCATAATTCCAGATTGTTCTCCAAAAGCTCATTGAGAGCAGGAACCGCTTAATTTTTGTCTGTATTCCAGAGGGCCTCAAACAGTGTCTTACACAGAGTAGGTACTTATGTCGATTGACAGATCACTTGAGAGCCAGTGAGGAAATTATAGGATCACAGAATCATAAGTGCCATCTAGTCTTACCCCATTATTTGACAAGTGAAGAAACAGAGACCCGGGGAGGTTAAGTGACCCAGGTGACACAGGTGATACTTACAAGCAACAAGATTTGAATAAAGGTCCTCTGACTTGAGGGACAAGTCTCTTTCAGTCAATAGACATTTATTAGCACCTACTATGTGCTAGGCAATATGCTAAGCACTGACGACCATGGATACAAAGAAAGGTAAAAGATAGTCCCTGTTCTTGAGAAACTCACAGTCATGCAAATATCTATGTACAAACAAGCTATGTACAGGATAAATTGAGAATAATCCAGAGAAAAGGCATTAGAATGAAGAGGAATCAGGAAAGGTTTCTTGCAGAAGAGGGGAATTTCAGCTGACAGAGAAAAGATTATTAAATAACCAGTTATTGGGAAAGTCCAGGGTTTCTTCTATTCCTATCTCCTCATTCTACTGGGTCAAGTCAGCATCTGAAGGACACTGCTGATAATGAGATTGGATTAACTTTCTCCTCCATTTTGTTCAGACCCCACCCAAGTGGGGAAGCCCTTAGAGTTCTATTCAGGAGTGGGTGTCTGTGTGTGTGCATGAGGGGGTTGCTGAGGAGGCTGACCACCCTCAGCACCCAAACCACCCTTCGGGAATGACCTGATCAAAATTTTGGCCCTTCATTAGAATGGGTCCAATACTCATTATAATATTCATTCTTCTCATTAATTGTTAACCAAAGAACAGAGTTGATTGCCCCCCTCAGGAACGCCCACTCTTCCAAGGACATATAAGTGTTGAGTGGGTTCCATGAGGGGGTCTTTGGCATTTGAGAGTGCCACTGACTCCCTAATCATCTAGAAATTATTGCTCTTGAACTTTTTATACATCACAGCCCAGAATCAGGTGATAGAGTGTCTTGTTAGAGGACCAGCAAGAAAACTGCTCTTAACCAGACCAAACTTGTCCAAGGCTACTGACTAACTGTGTGACCTTGATTTTCCCTCAGAGTAACCTCAATTTTTTTTACCTTTAAAGAGAAATTGAAGGAAGGGGTATAGAGGCTGGAGTATCTTGGGCTCTAAGGCGTCTTCCAGCACTAACATTTATGATTCTAAAACATGAGTTGAATCTGAAGACACAGTGAAAGCAAGAAAGGCAAGATCATAAAAGTAAGGGTGGAGTTCTATAATATATGCCTGCTCTGCTCTCACAATCTTTAGGGCCAGCCCTGAGAATTGGGACGGGAAGCACTATTTTTTATTGGCCTCCTGACATTAAGATGATCCACACAGTCAATAGAGTAGACCATATTTTACAGCCCTATTTCATTTGAGGCCATATAGAGCCCCAGTTTTGTGCTCTGTCAACTAGACCCCACTGTGTGATCTATCTCAGTCACAGGACCATAGATTTAGAGCTGAAAGGGACCTTAGAGGTCATCTAGTCCAACGCCCACATTTTATAGAGGAAATTGAAGCCCTTAGAAATGACATAGTCAGGCAGGTAGTAAGTGCTGACTGAGCTGGCTTTCAAATGCAGGCCCTTTAACTCCAAATCCAGAAACTACTTTCCATTACATCATGCTGCAGATGGTAGCTCTCCTTCCTTGTATTTCTCTTAGCACTTTGCCTGGAGTTCTCTCCTTTATACTTCATCACATTTTGCCTTGGATCGTAGTTACACTGTATTTATTTTGGACACATTCTAGTATTTATCAGATTATAAACTCTTTGAGAACAGGGTCTATTATATCTATTGTAGTATAGAACCTTATGCTTAATAAAGGTATGTTAGATTGAAGTGCTAACTGTGTACATTCTGTCACACTTAGCTAGATTAAATCACGACAATTTCCCAAACCTGAAATGAAAAATGTTTCCTGACATAGGAATATAGATATAAAGTTGGAAGGGACCTTAGAGATTATCCAACCCCTTCATTTCATTAGAAGAGGAAACTAGAGCTTAGGGCGATTGTGGCTTGTGCAGAGATAGCGCTTGAACAGTGGCAGCATAGTAAAAATAAGTGTATATTGTCTACTGTGGAGGCTTCTTTCAAAGGGAGAGTGGTTGCCTTTCCAGTCTCAGCCTTTGTTTTCTCCAAGCCTGTTTGTGTCACTGCTGTCCCTCTGCTTTCCACCTCCTTAGAATATGGGCCCTGGGGCTTTTATTTGCTGTCTTTGTATCTCCAGTATCTACAATAATGCCAGATCCATAACAGGGGCTTAAAAAATACCTGTTGAATTGGATTTGAATATGAAACTGCTCCCTGCTGAAATAGAAATTTAGTACTGAAACAATTTTGTTTTCTCTCTAGCAGTGACCACAAGCACCTAAAAACTGGTGTTGGCTTTGGTTGGGGGAGGTATCTTTTTTCACTTTTCTTCAGCTGGACGTTGCTACTAAGAGATAAACTAATAAAAATATGGGAGGTCCTGGAAAGAGGTGATGGTGGGATGTGTTTTGAAGTGATGGTGGGGTGAGGAGGCACGTCTTTTGGGAAATGCTTTCCCCCTATTTTTCATATTGATTGAAGCAAGAATCCTGCTTCCCCTCCGCCCCCACCATGACAGTTGAAACAGATCAGATATCTCATATGACACTTCTGCCTGTTGTGTTATGCATTCCTCTGGGCAAATTGTTTCCATTTTTTTCTGGGAGGAAGGAGAGAGTTAGCTTCACGATACAGTGAAAAATGTGTTGGATTTGGAAGAAGAATAAGTTTGAATTTGGAATTTACTCCTCATTTTCTGTGTGATTCTGGGCAAGTCCCAGTTTCTTTATCTATAAAACGAGGGGTTTGGATTAGATAACCTCAGAGGTACCTTCTAGCTCTAATTTTAGTGAGCATTTTTGGGTTCTTTTTATTTTAAGCATTATTTTAAGTATAGTTTTGCTCTTTTGGGGTTCTTGCTCCTTCTTTTCCCCATCTCCTTGCCATTTTTCTCACCCCTTTCCTCTCTCCTCCCCATTCCTCTTTTCTCCTTTTTCTTTCTTTCCCTCCTCCCTTTTTCTTTGCCCTTTTCTTTGCTCTTTAGACTTTGTAGTCCTATGGCTTGTGTGAGGGTGATACACACGCCTAGCACTGACCCCACCCAGACTGCTAATATTGGTATCGGTCAGGACTGGGTGGGACGCCAGCTGCAAAGAGCAAAACCTGTCTGCAACCTGAGAGAAGGAAAGAGCTGGGCTGTTGTGGTCGCTTGGCTCTGAGGGTCAAGGGTTAGGAAAAGGCACAAATCCCCTAATCCTTATTTCAGCTGCTCTTTGGGTCCGCCCACCCCAGTTTCGACTAAAGGGGAGTCCTCTCAATGGACTGTGTTCCTCTCAGGAGCCAATAAAGTTTTAGAAGTTTGAAAAGAAGAAAAAAAAAACCAAAAGGAACTTGCCATCAGCCACTAGCGTGGCTGCGCCTGCAGACTCAGACTGTGAGCCCGGGAGGCTTGTGTGTTGGCAGGCAGGGCCTGTGGGGCTCAGAGAAGGACCGACTGGTTGGCCTGTAGCGACCATCTGCTGCCGGAAATGGGAGTCACTGTGGATGTGCACCAAGTGTACAGATACCCATTCGAGCAAGTGGTGTCTAGCTTCCTCAGAAAGGTAAAGAAGTAGCAATTTTTGTCCTTCTGATCTCCTTTGTCTTCCCTTGGACTGTGGGTGTTACTTCTGCCTACTCTGAAACTTAGTAGCTATGTGACCATGTGCAAGATCACTCCCTTGCCAGTCACTCCCTGCCGGCTTCTTCAAACTGAACTGTCAAGTAGAGACGGTTGGGAGATGCTGTCACCCTTTCGCTTCTTTCTGCGACTGAAAGTCATCATTCCCTCCTTAGAAGTATCACCACTATGATTATACCTCTGAGACTTTCATATTCTACTTTGTATTATATATTTGCATGTGTCTTACTCTTAAATTCTAGACTCAGGTTCTCTGGGGATAGTGTCTGTAAGTGTTTGCTGAATGAGTGAATGAATGAGTTAAAGAGGAACTCCCAAGGTCTTGGCTCTCTGTCTCACCTGCTGGAGTTTTTTTTTTTTAAACTTGCATCGGCCTTTGTGGTGAGGATGGAGGAATCTTATGAGTCTTTCCTCATCCACAAAACTTTTTGAGCGAAGAAGGTCTTGGGGTCTCCACTGAGGAGTTGGAGACTCTGATAGGACAATGTTCTTGGGAAGGAACAGGAGGTAAAAGGAATGGCTGGATGGTTGTTATTTTTTTGCACTCACTTGCCTCTCTGTGAAATGGAGGTGATGGATGGGCCATAGGATTTAGAATTGGAAGAGTCCTTAGAAGTGATTTCATTAAATCCTTTCATTTTACTTTTCTGTCACACCATCCCATACTAACCCTCCATGCAGGAATCCAGCCATACCTCCCATAACTGTGTCTTGCCCTAGTCTGCCATCATTCCCTAAGGCAGCTACTCCCCTCTATGTGTTGACTCCACGTATTGGAATCTGAGTTTCTTACGGGCAGCAATGCTTTTTCTTTTGTATTCCTATTTCCAGAGCATAACAGTGCTTTGCAGGTTGTACTCATTTAGTGAATGCTTTTTCATTCACTCATTCATCTGTAAAATAGGTTAACTGAAGTCACAAGATCCTAAGGTAGTGACAAAACCCAGATTCAGTTCTGATCCAATTAGATTCAGTGAAACGAGAATTTATTAAATCCTGCTATATCCATGCATTGTATTAGTACTGGAGATACAAAGAAAAAAAACAAAACTAAACCTTTTCTATAGGTCTGACAAGTCCCACACACCCTGCCTCCACTTAATGGAACAGTAGCGGTACTCTGTCATTTCTAAGATCTAATAGAAAATTCTCTGGTTGATGTTCAAAGCCCTTCAAAACCTAGCTCCCTTCTACCTTTTTAGTCTTTTTATACCTTACTCCCTGCCACATACTCCTAGATCCAGTAACACTGGCCTCCTGGATGTTCCGTGAACAAGACGCTCCATCTCTCAGCTTCAGGCATTTTCTCTGGTTGTCCCCCATGCCTAGAATGCTCTCCCTCACAACTCTACCTATTGCCTTCCCTGGCTTCCTTTAAATCCCAACTGAAATTTCATCTTTGATTGTAAACTTTTCCCAACCCCCAACCCCCTTTTTTTTTTGTCGAGGCAATTGGGGTGACTTGCCTAGGGTCACACAGTAACTGTTAAGTATCTGAGGCTGCACTTGAACTCAGGTCCTCCTGACTCCACGGCTGATGCTCTATCCACTATGCCACCTAGCTGCCCCTATCCCTCTTAATTCTAGTACTTTCTGTAAATTTTTTTCCTATTCTATATGCAGATCATTTGTACAGAATTTATTTACTTGTTGTCTCACTTATTTAATTGTGAGTTCCTCAAGGGCAGAGACTGTCTTTTGCTACTTCTTATATCTTATGTCTGGCTTTTTATTAACTAATTGACCTATTGCCCTCAAGGGCTATTAGTGCCTATTTTATGTTTTGTCCTAGGAATACAAATAAAAGCAAAACCAGTTCCTGCCCCAAAGGACCTTATATTCTAGGGTGGGAGACATGTAAGTATCTATGTACAGATAAGCATAAATAGAAGCTAAGATGGATTTTTAGCTGAGTCTTGAAGAAATCCAGAAAGCTAGGAGGTAGCAGGGGAACCTTTCAGGCTTGGGGGACAGCCACAGGAAGGAGGTTAATATAGCTCTATATAGAAGGTATGGTGGAGGAGGGGTAAAATATAAAAAGACTGGAAAGGAATGAAGAGGCCACTTTGTGAAAGTCTTTAAATGCTGAACAATATTTTATATTTAATCCTGGAAATAATAGGGAGCTATGAGTTTGTAGAGTAGCAGAAGTGACATGGATAACTTGCAGTTTGCAGCTGAATGAGACTCAGGAGAACTTGAGACAAGATCAGTTAGAAGCATTTTTCAGTAGTCCTGGCATGTGAGGGGTTTGAATTAGGATTATGGCTGTGTGAGTGGAGACAGGGACATGCAAGAGGGATGTGTGAAGATAGAAACCATAAGATTTGAAAACAGTTTGTCTGAGGTTCTTTAAGCATAATGTAATTTTAAAAAAAATCTCTAATAATATTCCAAATTATTATTTTTGCTTTAATTGATAAGTGATTGCAACTCTTGCTTTTTTGGACAAACCTGATACATAGCAAATTCTTTTCTAGACTTAAAATTCCATGTAAGTCTTTGATTTTTGCATGATGTATTTCTTGTAAGCAACAAATTGTGTTTTTGTTTTCCAGCCTTGCCACTCTTTCATTTTATTGGATTGTTTAATCCATTCACGGTTAATGTTGTGAAAGTTAGATTTATGTTTTCCTATATTTGTGTCTCTAATATTGCTTTTTTGGAATTTTTTCCTCTTCTTTTTTTAAGTTAGTACTTTGTCTCTATATCAGTGTTACTTAAACTTCTTAGATGTAACTCTGTTCTCACAGATTCTCTTCACTTACCTTTCCCATTTTAATGCTTTTCTCAGTTTTTGAGTTACCTTGTTAATTGATTTCTTTTCTCCATTTTTTGGTTATATTTCTCTAGTCCTCACTTGATTCATCTATCCCTACTAGTTATCATCCTAAAGTTTTCTTCCCTTTTGTTGCTAAATTTCTTGAGAAAGTGGTCTATGATTGGTGTTGCCACTTTCTCTCTTCTCACTCTCTTTTTAACTCTTTGCAGTTAGGTTTCCAACTTCATCATTAAGCTGAAACTGATCTCCATCCCTACCCTTCTTGACCTCTCTGCAGCCTTTGACCCTGTTGATAACCCTCTTTTTCTTGAGACTCTTCTCTTGATAACCCTCTTCTCCTTGAGATTCTTCTCTCTCGGTTTTAGTGACAATGCTCTACCTGACTTCTTCTTAGTCTACTTTGCTGGATTTAAATCCAGGTCACTAACAGTGGGGTGTCCCACAATGCTTTTTCTGGGCCTCTTCTTTTTTCCCTCTTTAAGATTTCAGTTGGTGACTTCATAGGCTCCCAGAGATTCAATCATTAGCTCTATGTCAATGATTCTCAGAATATATTTGTCTAGTTTTTAATCCTTTACCTTAACCTCCAAACTCACATTGCCAAATGCCTGTTGTACATCTCAAAATGGATTTCTCAGACATGTCTAGTTCAAAATGCCCCTAAATAGGACTCATGATTTTCTCCTCTCCCAAACTCCACTTTTCTGAACTTTCTTATTTCTAATGAGGGCACCATCCTTCAAGTCACCCAGGCTAGCAACCTAGGTGTCATCTTTGAATCCTCATTCTCTCTCACCCCCCCACCCCACCCCAACAGGACTGTAGCTGAGTCCTGTACTATTAATTTTCTTCCCATCTTATTTTTATTCCCACCCCAGTTCAAAATCTCTCCTTTCCTCTCCTCTTCTTCAACAATCTTTTTTTCTTGTATTTCTTTCCTAAAAGTATTTCTTTGCTTTGTACTCTTCTCTTTCAATTCAAATTCTCTTCTTTGACTTCTATTTGTCATTTCAACCTTCCTCCCCACCCCCATTTATTCTTCTATCACTCTCTTTCTGACTCCCCCCTCTTCTTTTCCTTTTCTGGCTGACTTGAATCATTGACTACCACTTTTTACATGGTAAGGAGGGAATAAGGAAGATGTTGCAGAGTCCATGCAGCCATGAAGCACCCCAACTTAGAGACTGCTCCAGGCAGAAGGCAGCATGAATTTCTTTACTCTCCAACACCATCTCATATGTCTGGGAGGAATCAGTGTCTGCTTTTTAGGGTGGAAAGGAGGAAGGGGCTGTATTGCATTAGTAGACCCAACAGCAGGAGGGGATTCCCATATGGGCCTCAGGCATGATCCAATGAATTATTTTGTGCAATCCTTCCAGAAGCATAGAGCTAGTGGGGGAGGGCAGCTTAATGAATGCTTTTAAGGATTAACATTTTCTAGTGTTAGTTCATAAAGCTTTTACCTTGATGGGATTCCTCATTTCTTGTCCTGGGAATTCATCTGTAATTTTTCTGCATCTGGCACATAATTCCCAGTTTGGGGTTTTGTTTTGAGAATTAGTGAGGCTGCTAGGTCTCTATCCCAAAGACATAAAAAAAGGGAAAAGGAACTATTTGTACAAAAATATTTATATCAGCTCTTTTTGTGGTGGCTAAGAATCGGAAATCGATCTAGAGGACACCCTCAATTGGGAAATAGCTAAACAAGCTGTGGTATATGATTATGATGGAATACTGTTGTGCGATAAGAAATGACAAGCAGGATGATTTCAGAAAAACCTGGAAAGAATTAGATTCATAGGTTGCCAAAGAGGGTGATACTGCCTTCTGTGGGGTGCAGGAATGATCCAGAGGGGCAGAAGTAGCCTGAGGTGCAATTGAAGGGTGTTGAATAAAAATGAGAAGGCAGGGGAAGCATAAGGAAAGAAGAGAAGAGAAGAGAAGAATTTGAAAAACCATTTGTACATGTTTCATCTGTTGTATAACAAGTCAAAGTATCGTGATTACATTATTTTCCAAATAAGCACCCAAAATGCAAGTTAAAATTGATCAGTGGTCAAGTCTGGGGACAGGTCTTAACAAGCAAGTGTTGCTGTCAGGCCAGCCTGTTGCACATTGTCAGGAAGTCCAGCGTGCATCAG